CGCCCGGTAAAGCCACGGCCGCGCGCCGGCGAGTGGGAGCCAGGCGCCGAGCCCCGGCCGGCTTCTCCACCATCACCACCCCACGCGTGTCTCCCTCCTCGCCGCGACGGCCAGCACGGGCAGCCGGACGACCACTGGCAATCGCTGGTGGCGACGCCGGGGCTCAGCCCCTTCTCCAAAGGGGGGCGTCTGCTAGTCGCCTGACTCCGCGCACAGGAGCCCTGCCCGCGCCCTGGCCCTGCACTATCTCCTCATGCTTCTGGGGATCCGCCTGCACGCTCCTCCCTCCTCGTCCCTCCGCTCCAGTCTCAATTCCTTTCAACTCTCCAACTAGCGTTTCCCACGCGCGCCTCGACTGCCCGCTGTGCAACTGCCTCCAAAGGGACTAACTCTTTCCTCCCCGCGTTCCTAAGGAGCCGCCCAGCGGCTGGCTCCCGACCAGGAAGAATTGGCCTCTAGGGTCGGCGTGGGCCGCGCGGGACCCATCAGCTCCCCGGGGTCCGCTCCAAGGCTCGCCTCCCCCGCGCCCTTTGTGTGCGAGCCGCGAAGCCTAGGCGGAGCCCCTCCTTTCAGCGGCGCCGCCTTTGCGAAGCTCGAGAGAGAGGAGGAGCGCGGGACAAGAGGACTGGAAGGGGCAAAAGGCGCCCGCACTCACTCTGGAAAGGTTCCGGCATATTGTTGCCGGTGGGTTCCCTCGTGGTCTCGCCACTACCCCCCGGCTTTCCCGCCCCTACCGGACCTCAAACAGAGGGGTAGGGGAGGAGCAGAGCCACTGGGACAGAGTTGGACATGGTGCTTCCGGAGCTACAGAGAAGGGGCTCAAAAACTGTTTTGGTTTCGCTAGGGAGAGTGAAGACAACCAAGAGGCTAGGGGTGCAGGAGGAAGGCCCAGTGAGCGCGGATATATAGAAACTAACCTTGCTCCCATGGAAGAGCTGGGAGGGTGGAGGGCAGGCGTCAGCACAAACATTTTTTGTGGACAAATTGGATAGAATCTGACGCTTCTGTTTTTCTACTATGTTCGCTTTAAAGTCGAGGCAAAGACACAGAACAGGACTTCAAAAGCAAAGGGTCTGGGAACCGGGGACTGCTTAATAGTGAAGGAAAGAAAATGCAAAGTGGGAGAGAGATTAGCCCCAACTCACTCTCCTTGACCCGACAGGATCTTCTGTGGGTCCTCTTCTTACCTAGTTGCTTTCCTAACGAAGTAGGAGAATGTGAAGTCCCAGTGATCGTCCAGCCACGCTTCGACCGAGTCCTGGTCCCGCTGCTGCTGCGGCCGCCCGGGGTCGGGGCCGTCCAGCTCCATGGTCTGTGCTGTGTTACTCCGCGTCTCACAGGAGCTGCTTCCTAACCCAGCTAGGGTCTCGAAGGAGTAGGACACTTCCACGAGACCCTCCCCCTTCGTCTCGCTCCGGAGGGGTCTGCTTTTGGAAAGGCTGCTTGGGAGCCAAGCCAGCCTCCCGCCCCGCCCTGCCTCGCCAGCTCTGGTACTGCTCCCAGGTGTGGTGGGCGGGGCGGGGAGCAGCTGCCCCACTGTCTCCCAGGGGTCTGGCGGAGAAAGGCACTAGCAGTCTGTCTAATACCCTGGTCCTGAAGCGGATGCGGCCGACACCAGCAAAGTCTTCCGCAGCGGAGCACTTATCCGCTGGGGTGCGCTGTGAGCAGAGGCGGCTTTTAGGAGCGCGCAAAGGTGACAGGATGAGAGTCCCTCTGTAGTAAGTAAGGGAAAGGTCGCGATGTAGGGAATCCCTCACCAAGCGAAAAGGCGGAGTTTGGTGAAGTTTTATGAAAACTGAGAGCTAGTGCAACCCTGAGCGCACTTCCTAGAGCTTGAGAGAACAATAACTGACCCGTATCACTTTTCTTCCAGCCCAATCCGTAGGTAAAATAGGTGCCGGGACCGATTTAGCACAGCGCCCAGTCCACACAGCAGTTCGAAGCCCCCCAGCCTCTTCCCAATCCCTCCCCACCGGTTCGGTGGAGGAGAGTTGAAATTTTAGCATCAAGACAGATGCCAACAGCCCTGTCCTCAAAAAGGTCAAATGAGGTCTAGATGGGTAACCTCCAACAAAGCCATAGCGGTAGTTAATGTTAGTAATGTTAATAGCATTCGATGTCTTTAGCCATCTCATCAAACACCTCCCTCCTTTTCTTAAAGCACTGATTTTCTGGAAAAAGGAAACATTGTCAGAAAACATGGGCACCTCTGAACGTTTAGATTAAGCTAAGAGCGCAAACGCAATTGTGCACAATTGAGAGCAACTGGTTGCCTGGTTAACACCCCTTACCCAGCCGTATGCGTTTAAATCAATCTATCACTTGTACTTAATTGCAATTAATACTCCTTCTAAAGAAATACCATTTAAAAAGTGACTGACATTTCTGTTCTGTTTTGTTCTAGTTTACCGTTTACCACCACCCAGCTGGTCATTGTCAAATTATGCTTAGTTGCATATTGCTATGATACCGGGACCTGTGCCAAGGCCTGTATCTCAAATACCAGCAGGGTCACCCATGATGGATAGATTTCATTAGTTTCCAGACTAAGACAGACAAGGAAGGAAAACCTGGTCATCTACTTTCAAATATCAGCCATTGAGAACTTGATACACTGTAATTGAATGCTGTTCAATATAGTGCTAGAAGAAGAGCCTGGAAGAGTGCTGGAAGATGAGGTTGGAAAGCAATACACAATAAGTCGGTTTGAACCACAAGGTCGGCGGTTCAAGCTCACCAGTCGCTCCTTGGAAACCCTATGCAGAGTGGCTAACAACAAGACACCAAGGAACATGATATGGCTGGCTTAGGACCTTGGAACGTTTCCTTCTGTTACACGTGCCAAAACCAATGGCAAATCCACTGCCATCTAGTATATTCCCACTTATAGTGATCTTTATAGGGCTTCAAAGGGAGCAGAAAGTCTCATCGTTCTCCCTTAGAACTTCTGGTGGAATTGAAAGCTAAATTTTTGGTGAACAGTCCAGTGTTTAAGTCCTCATGAATCAGAACTGACTATATATGAACTAACAATGTTGCAACAACATTGTTGTTTTTAAAAAGCATTTGGTGCCTTCCTTTCCTTTGTTTCTTTTTCAGTTTTAATATGTTATTTTGCAATGACCTAATTATTTTGGGCAAAATTAAACGTGGAATTGTAGGTTTCACAAAGTGTGAATAAAACTGTTAGTGTGGTTTAGCGGCCATGCTTTGAACAATCTTACTCTTGGCAATAATGTAAGGCATTACTCATTACAAAGAAACACATAATTAAGTTGATAATCTGGGAATTTAAAGAAAGTCTTCTAGTCTACCTGTGAAATATTTTATCTTACCTGCACTCATATAATTGTCCTTTAGTTATTTCAGTTTTCCTCAAACTTTGTTTTTGTAAATGAAGTTTTATTAGAAGTTTACCTTTGTATGCAAGTAATCAAAACCATTTTAAAGCAAACAAAACAGTAAAATAGGAGTAATGCATCCTGGTGTGGCACTGTAGGATAAGCACTTATCAGCTAATTGGAGATTGAAGGTTCAAACCCAGCTGCTGCTCCTCAAAAATCCTATGCAAGGCCACTATGAGTCCTCAGAATAGACCCCCATGGCACTTAGCAACAACAACTCCATGGAAATCCATAGATTCCTCATAACAGAAGGTCAATTACAATCTTAAACTCTATTTTATCTACTAAGCATGGACTGAATTTTTGGTTTGAATAGTTTGCCATAAGAAGCTCTGGTAGTGTGTTGCTGTTGTTGTTAAGTGCCATTGAGTCGGTTCTGACCCATAGCGACCCTGTACAGAGTTTCCGAGGGTGTAAATCTTTATGGGAGTAGAAAGCCTCATCTTTTTCCCGCGGAGCGGCTGGTAGTTTCAAACCGCTGACCTTAAGGTTTGCAGTCCGATTCATAACCACTAAGCTACCAGAGCTCCTTAGTGTAGTGGTTACGAATTGGGCTGTGAACCGCAAGGTCAGCAGCTCAAAACTACCAGCTGTTCTGCGGGAGAAAGATGAGGCTTTCTGCTCCCGTAAAGATTTACAGCCTCGGAAACCCTATGCAGGGTTGCTATGAGTAGGAACCGACTCCATGGCACACAACAACAACAACAACAGCAGTTCATATGGTCTCTTAAGAAATGGAGTCCTGGTGTGGCGCTACAGGTTAATGTACTGAACTGCAAGGTCAAATTGAATCGCAAGGACAGCGTTTTAAACCCACCAGCTGCTCTTGGGAATCCCTATACAAGCTTTCTATGGGTCAGAACCGACTCGACAGCATTTAACAACAACAAAATTATATACTGCAGGGAACAGAAGATCACATGTAGTATTTAGAGAAAAAAAGAGGAAGTTATCAAGGCACTGTTAATTTTTGCTCTTTTTTGGAAAGAAATTTTATCATCCATGGTTTTGTTTGTTTTTTCAAGTTGTATAACCATTTAATGATGTTGTTGCTAAGTACTGTCGAGTCGGTTCTGACCCACAGCAATCCCGTATAGGGTTTTGGAGAGGCTGCTAGTGAGCTTGAACCACCGACCTTGCAGTTCAAACTGAACTTGCAGTCCAGTGCATTAACCCATAGTGCCACACCAGGACTCCAGTATATAACATTAATATATAAAACATTAAATTGAAAGCACATCAAACTTTATACCAATGAATTTAACAACTTAAATGAAGTGATTGAAAAAAAAAACACCCAAACTAACACAGATGAAATATAAATTCTATTGAAATATAAATCAATAATGCATTAAATTTGTTATTTAAAAACCCTCTTACAAGGAAAATGTGTGTCCTAAATAGTTTCACTGATGAATTTGATCAAGTAATTAAGAGAAAAATATATGAATTTTTATATAAACCTTTGCATTAAGTCAGCATAACCCTGGTACTTAATAAGAAATTTAGAGAAAATAGTATCTTTCATAAATGATTCAGAAATCCTTAATGTATTATTAGCTAATTGAACTCAGCAATATATTGAAAAGATAATATCCTAAGACTAAGAGTGATTTAGAGATATAAAGCTAGTTTAGATTCAATTCAACTTATCATGCTAACAGAATAAAGAAGAATATCCATATAAAAATCTCAATCAATGCAGTAAGAACATTTGATAAAATTCAATATTCATTCATGATTTAAAAAGAAAAAAAACAAAAAAAAAAAACCTTAGCAACCAAGGACTAGAAATAAACTCTTTAATTTGATAAAAGACAAAAAAAATCCTCTGTGACCAAAGAATGTAAAGAAACTTTTCGGTGGAATAAAAGGCATACATGTATCTCTACCACTCTTCTGTCAGTTTGTTGTACTGTGGTGGCTTGCATGTTGCTATGATGCTGGAGGCTATGCCACCAGTATTTTGAATGTCAGTAGGGTCTCCAATGGTGGACAGGTTTCAACTAAGCTTCCAGACTAAGACAGACTAGGAAGAAGGAGAAATGGATTGCTTCCATTTTGGAGGAAGACTCATTAGCACCCTGTGATGTATAGCTTTGATTACTGATGAAGATCAAAGATCAAAGTCTTCTGTATGGGTTGCACCTCCAGGTAAAGAACACAAAAGTCCTTACCACTGGACTAATAAGTAGCTTCAAGATAAATGGAGCAAAGATTGAAGTTGTCAAAAACTTCATTTTGCTTGGATTCACCATCAACACGCATGGAAACAGCAGTCAAGAAATCAAATGATGTATTGCATTAGACAAATTTGCTGCACAAGCCCTCTTTAAAGTATTCAAGAGCAAAGAAGTCAGTTTGAGGACTAAGGTGTACCTGACCCAAATCATGGTATTTTCAGTAGCTTCATATATGTATGAAAGTTGGACAATGAATAAGGAAGGCTGCAGAAGAATTGATGCATTTGTATTATGGTGTTGGAGAAGAATATTAAAAGTACCATGGCTACCAAAAGAACAAACAGATCTATATTGGAAGAAATACAACTAGAATGTGCCTTAGAAGTCAAGATAACCAGACATTGTCTCTCCTACTTCGGTTGTATTATCAGCAGGGACCAGTCCCTGGAGAAGAACGTCATGTTTAATAAAGCAAAAAAAGAGGCCAACCCCCAATGAGATAGATTGGCACAGTGCCAACTGCAATCAGTTGAAATATAACAATAATTGTAAGGTTGTTACTGGACCAGGCAGTGTTTCTTTCTGTTGTGCATTAGATCACTATGAGTCAGAAGCAACAAGATGGTACCTAGCAATAAAAACTTACAGGTATATTTAATAGTAAAATAATGAATGCTGTCCCCCAAGAATGGGAGCAGAGTAAAGAAATCTACTCAGACCAC